GTCTTACTAATGAAATTACCTTCACTCATAAGGAAAAGAAATTTGTGCTTTATCCTCTCTCACCTCAACAAGTGGCTGAGGATCAAGCACAAATGAAAGTAAAAAGAAAAAGTGAGAAAGTAGGGAAGAGTAAAGAGGAAGAAATATCCTCTAAGGGAGTTATGACTAAAGAGAATTGATTTATTACTAGAAGACCTACGAAAAATATTCTCTTTATTCATAAAGACCTTAACTCTTACCCTCACACTGCCAATAGTCTTGAAGAAGAGATTCAAAATCCTACGAAATCCTAAACCAATACACCCCCCTTAGATTCTCCAAAGTTTATTTCTTTATTATTTTTCGCTACCTCTCTTCTAAACATGCACACATTTAATTCCGATTCAATTTTCATAAAAAAAATATTAAAATTAGCTTTCCAAATCAGCTAAATGAATTTATTTTCTCCAATGTTTATCTCATTATTGTGCAAGTATTGGAAAACTTATCTACAAAGGCTTTAGCTATTAATAACGCCTAATGTTATATTTAGGATACAAAATTGAAATTATTTTTATGTTTATTTTTCCTTATTATTAATCATATCTTTTTACATAATAAATAAGTAATAAATAAAGCAATTAAAAAATAAATAAATACAAAAGTAACACTATACATATTGTTGTAAAATTTTTATTTTTATTGTGCATATAGTATTAATAATTAATAATTTAGAGAAGAAAAGGGGATAGCCCTGATGTGCTTACCCAAAACAGTATGAGCTTCTGAGGTCCAATAAAAGAAATGATATATGTTGAGCTGTAGAGAGCTCCAGAGTAAGAAAGAATAGAAATCTGAATTGTAAGTTGCAACCCTTTCCAATGTTACTGTGCATGGGACACAGAATTGGGTACTCACAAATCCCTTTTTAGTTTTTCTTAATCTTCTTCTCCCACACAATCTCATTCTCATTTCTTTTAGCCTCCACCTTAAATGCTGCACTTTTCCACGCTCCTCATTTCCATTCCCATATTCTAGGTACTGTATCGCTTCCTTCTCTTTCTTCAAGTTTCTGAATTCAACAACATTTGCCCATAATTCTCTTTCTTGAAGACACCCCACTTCTTGATTCTCGCTTTCCCAGCTTCATGTAGCTGTCCCGGATCTTGGGTTTCACACCAAACTTGGTGTAAATCTTGAATTCCAATGAAATAACCTTTTTTTTTTATTTTTTTTTATTTCTTGGCCCCAAAATGGAGATTTCCTGTGAAGGTTGTTCTCCTAGGATTAGGTCTGATTATTCGAGGAAAGAGGGATCCGAGGGAACCCCTTTTCAGCCGTTGGAACTCTCTGATCGTGATCACAGTTATCAAATCCAATCCATGAATGCTTTGGATATTCTGAGAGAGACTGTTAGGATTCTTAGGTTCAATTCGTGGGGTTTCATGGCAATCACTGTTCTGCTTATTTGTCCTGTTTCTGCAGTGCTTTTGTCTAATGTAATAGTGGATCACTCCATAGTGAGGAGTCTCTCTGTTAGGCTTATGTTGGTTGCACAGACTAGTGGTCTCCCTCTGAGACCAATCATCAAACAATCATGTCAGCGATTTGCGGAAACCGTGGTTTCTTCGGCCATGTGCTTTCCTTTGTATGCTACATTGTTGGTGTTGTCCAAGGCTGCAATTGTCTATTCTGTAGATTGTACTTATTCCAGGAAGAAGTTTGATGCTTCCAAGTTTTGTGTGATTGTTGCCAAGTTTTGGAGGAAGATCCTGTTCACATATATGTCGGCTTGTACAGTTATAGTTGGCTGCATCACCATGTTCTGTGTTTTCCTTGTGGCGTTTTGCAGTGCATTGTCTGTTCTTGGCTTTTCACCAGATGTTGTTGTGTATTGTGCAATGTTGGTTGGGCTGGTTTTCTCAGTTGTCTTCGCCAATGCCATAATCATATGCAACATTGCAATGGTGATCTCGGTGCTTGAGGATGTTTCCGGAGCACAGGCGATGCTGCGGTCGAGTATTTTGATCAAGGGTCAAACTCAGGTGGGTTTGCTGATATTTCTTGGATCGACAATTGGAATGGCCTTTGTGGAGGGCTTGTTTGAGCACAGAGTAAAGACTTTGAGCTATGGCGACGGATCTTCGAGAGTGTGGGAAGGGCCACTCCTGGTGGTAATGTATTCATTTGTGCTGCTTATAGATTCCATGATGAGTGCAGTTTTCTATTTCAGTTGTAGATCTTTTAGCATGGAGTCAGCAACAGATGGTGAAGGCAACTCAATTTTGGAAACTATGGCCATATCTGCTGAATCAATTGGCATTCAATGATATTGCCAGCATGATATTGATTATGTCAATTGAATCAATAAGATGAAAAGGGAATCTGTAAGAGATTGTTCCCAGCAAATTGTGGTGCCATTGAGGAACCTTGCAACAATACTTCCTCAGAACATTGGATAGAAGAGCTATATAGGGTGGATGACTTTGGATGGCTTTTACCTTGATGAAATAGCTCATTTCAGCGTACGGAAATTGCTTCTTTTAGTTGTAGTACAAACATGGAGAAACATAAAAGCGGAGTAAATGTATTTGTTTTCTGAGTGTTAGTAGAAAAGCTAATATTTTATAGACAAATTGAAGAGATTATTTTGAGTTGAAGCACATTTTTATTGTTCCCTGATGATACACAGTTACGTCCAATCTTTTCGAAGCTTCTGCTCTCATACTGTGTAGGGAAGTCTACGGAATTTTTCTGGTTAAATGATCTTTAGTTTCAAACATTACTGAACTACAATTAGCTTATTTAAACCAATATATGTTCATCACTAATAGTCTGAACTATAACTATTTTAAAAAGATGTAAAAGGTGTCTATTAGATTTTGTTCTTCTATCTGCCTCTGTTATATACAAATATCTCCTGTCGGTTAAAATTTCTTTCTTTATTTGTTCTAAATGGTTAGGGGTCTTTCAAGTCTAAGGCATGCCACAAGGCTTACTTTTAGGTTGGTATTTACCAATTGGCCCACTGAGGGAGAGTACTTTCAGTGATGTTTGAAAGTTTTTTCTCTAATCCAATGGCCTTAATGCCTTTTACAGTTTTTAATTCTATGTTAAACATACAAATAAAGAATCACTTTATCTGTGTTGATAATCAGTATGCATCAGGAGGATTCTTGAAAAGTATACTGAGCTCATTTGCATTGAAAAATCTCTCTATATGTGGATTATTGTCAAAGGGATTCACCTTCTGATTTTGCATTGCATTGAATGATCTTTCTATGTGTGCCTAACTGCTTATTTCTTCTAGTTTTGTGCATTAGAATATTTGTTAAACATGTAAAAAAAAAAAAAGTTCACTTGTTGACTGTAAGATGTTATAAAATATAGTGTAGTTTGGTGATCTGCCCCCGCATTTTGCAATAAAGATGAGAATGACCATTATACTTCCCAGAGTGAAAGTAGCAACTTTCTTCTGGAAGATTTATTCTAATGTTATATCGATATTTGAAGCGCTTCATGTGCTGAGCAAAATGGATGCTGACTTCTGAATTGCCTTCGGGCACCTTCCCTTTACTACACTGGATGATTTACTACAAGAAATTAGAGAGCAAAAAAGTACTGCAGTTGAGGCTTCTTCCTTAGGCCAATCAGGGTATTTCATTCGAATTATGGTTTGTTCAATGGCACATCTGGGGTTGGTATTTTTTTCTCGAGCTTTTTATGACTGTATGCTTGACAAAGATTGTTTAGTATCCTATTTCATTCTAATGGCACATTCAGGAAAACCCGTGATGTATCTAGTTCAGATTTACAATGGAAACATATATTTGTTGTGCATCCCAACAAAGATATACAGTATACTTGACAAAGATTGTTTCGTATCCTATTTCCTTATAATGGCACATTTAGGAAAACCTCAACAAGATATACAACATGTTTCCGTTATGTATTTTAACAAGATGCACGCACAATGAAAACTGGTTTCTGTTGTAGGGGTGTCTAACTTCGGGTCATTTTGTCAAATATTTTTTTTGAAAAGGTGGAGGTTTAAAATAGTGATTTGGAGGGTGCAATACATTATTGATTGAAGTTTTCTGTCCTGTTTTTTTTTTTTTTTTTTGCTTCTTTTTTCAAATGTGAAAGCTCAACGGCAACCTATGAAACCTGGACCTTTGTATTTCAATTTGTGCCTTTTTTTAGTGTGTATGTGCATCCAGTATTCTTTTTAAGACAAATGATGCCTAATTCCTTTGGGCAGGGTTTAGAGATTATTGAAATGAAGGGTCTTTTCCAATAACTGTTTAAAAACCTTTCTGTGTAATTCAACTGTTTGACCTACTGATTTTGATGTAAACAAATATGCAAATAGATGATCAGAAGAAGGTTGATGATTAAATTATTTGTACATGCTTTATAAAGTATTAGACAAACGAAAATAAAAGAAAATTTAATATCAATTCGTTGTAAGTCATTGTCTCGCAAGCACCTGTAGGAGCATCTAAAACTATGGCAAAGGGGACATTGTGATGACACATGGTTTGATAGTCTTAAGCTCATTATTCAAAACTTCCTTTGTATATTCCTATTAGCTTAAGGCATTATAGTTTACTCGATAACTGAAGATATTGTTAGAACTTTGCGTTTAATTATTATAAAAGACATGATAGAAATATGTTATCACTATAGCAACAGGTGTTTTTTACATTTGAAAAATGTCGGTTAAAATATGAAGAAATGTTATTAATTTACTTTTCTAACATTTTATCAAATATTATATAAAGTGTTATTAATTACTAAAGGCTCTAAGCAATATTTTTACATATTAATAGTAGCATTTTAAAAATGTGACTAATTTATATATTTTGTATCATTTAAAAAATGTTACTAGAATAATTTATTTTGCAAAACTTAAGAAATGTTACTAAATTTTTTTAAATGAAAAAAATCCATTTTTATATTTAAACAATACCCAATTTGAAAATATTTGATTTACATTAAAAAAGTAAGTTATCAACATTGGTTATCACAAGTGATAGAGACTTGTATTCCTTAATATAAAATTGTTTAGGACTTGAATCCTAACTTTAAATATAAAATAAATTGTGAGAAGAATAACTACCTTATTTATGTTCATAGTTTCTAATAAAGATTAATCTCTATTTTTCAACGATGAATACTTTGTATTAATACATGGCTATTAAAAAAAATAAAGTTATTAATACCAACTTATTAACAAATGGAGGAAAACAAAGGAACTTGCATTTAAAATAATATATATTATATATTATATATATATATATATATATGAGGAGAGTTATAATAATGTAACTTCTATTAAGTATTACATTATTCAATAACTTTATATTAAATGTGAATTTTGTAAATCTAACTATTAGATTGAAAGTTCATATCACTTTATATGTTTATATAAAATTTTGTTAAAATTAAATAACAACTTTGAAGGTAATCAAAGTGTTTATATTTTAGTATATTTTAAAATGAATATATTACGTCAATTTTGTTTTAAAAAAAAGTCACACCAGTATTATTATAACCAAGGTTATAATAACATCGATGTAACTTTTACCAAGTATTACACCGCTCAATAACTTTATATTAAATATAAATTTTGTAAATTCAACCGTTAGATTGAAAGTTCTTATCATTGTTCAATTTTGACAAAATTTGGTATAAACATATAAAGTGATATATACTTTTAATCTAACAATTGGATTTACATTCACATTTAATACAAAGTTATTGAGTGGTATAATACTTAGTAAAAATTACATCGATGTTATTATGACCCGCCTCTTTCTCTCTCCGTACGTTTGGGTCCAAAAACTGAAACACTGATGTAAGAATTAAGATAGAGACCCAAAAAATTATTCATTAGACTCATCAGTGTATAGGTATATATATATATAACTTTTATTAAATATTATATCGCTCAATAACTTTATATTAAATGTAAATTTTGTAAATTCAACCGTTAAATTAGAAGTTCTTTACTCTTAGATCATATATACAAAATTTTATATTAATCCAAGATAATTTGATACTTCATTCTTAATAAACAAAATTGACGTAATATATACATTTCAAAATATACTAAAATATGAACACTTGGATTACCTTCAAGTTGTTGTTCAATTTTAACAAAATTTGATGTAAACATATAAAGTGATATGAACTTGCAATCTAACGGTTGGATTTACAAAATTCACATTTAATATAAAGTTATGGAGCGGTGTAATTCATATATATATATATGAGGAGAGATCCCTTTTAGTCTAGGAGTAAGTCTACTTATACTTACTCCATTCAATAACTCATATTCTACATCAAATTTCAACGATTCAATCGTTCAATTTAAAGTTCTTAATGCATAGATTAAATCTGCAAATTTTTAGAAAATTTGAAAATCATTTGATATTTCTTTATATTAATTCAAATTGACAGATAATCATAAAATTATTTTATACATTGATTCGAATTAATGAAACGAAGTATCTAATGATTTACAAATTTTCTAAAATTTGCAGATTTGATCTATGCATTGAGAACTTGAAATTGAACGGTTGGATCGTTGAAATTTGATATAGAACATGAGTTATTGAACGAAATAAGTCTAGGTAAACTTACTCCTAGAATAAAAAGATCCCTCCTCATATATATATATATATATA